CCACAAGTGGAAAATATTGGAATAAAAAGAAAACAACTGTTGATAATGCATTTGCATATTCCGTAGCACTTAATATAATGAAAGATGACGAGGATTATGAACCAAATCAGTTGATGAATATCGGCAAAGAGATGATTGGGCAAAATGAAAAGCCACAATTCAGTCTTAATTGGACTCATTGAATAAACGACAAGTATTCGGCCCCATAGTCCAAACACCTACAAATGTAAAATCTGTTGGCTACACGTGGGTGTTTGTGAGAAAAGAAATGAAAATAATGATATCACAAGATATAAAGTAAAACTTGTAGCCCAGGGTTTTTCCCAAAGACTTGGTATTGATTTTGAAGAAACATATTCATCCGTTATGAATGAAATAACATTCAGGTATTTGGTGAGTCTGGCAGTACGCAAAAATCTTGATATGCGATTAATGAATATGGTTACTGTCTATCTTTATGGCTCCTTAGACAATGATGTCTACATGAAAATTCCATAATTGATTAACATACCTGAATCATTCAAATCAAAGCCAAAAGAATCATATTCCATCAAATTGCAAAAATCTTTGTATGGGCTCAAGCAATCGGGTTGAATGTGATACAATCGTCTCAGCGAAAGCTTAACAAAAGAAGGTTACATAAATGACTCTATCTACCCATGGGTTTTCATAAAGAAAAACGGGTCTGAATTTGTAATCATCGCTGTATATGTCAATGGAGTTAATTTGATCGGAACTCCCGATAAAATTCTGAAAGCTGTTGAATATCTAATAAAGAATTTTGAGATAAAAGATTTTGGAAAAACTAAATTTTGTCTTGGTCTGCAAATTGAGCATTTGGAACGTGGAATATTCATCCACCAATCAAATTATACAAAAGGGGTACTGAAACAATTCTTGATGGATAAATCACATCCGCTAAGTACCCCAATGATCGTCAGAGCACTCGATCCGGCAAATGTCCTTTTTGACCAAAAGATGAAAATAATAAACACTTGGCCCTGAAGTGCAATATATGAGTGCTATAGGTGCATTGATGTATCTTGCTAACAGCACTCGACCTGATATATCATTTGTTGTATATTTATTGGCAAGATTCAGCTCATCGCCTAGTCGACGACATTGGAATGAGATTAAACACATTTTTCGCTATCTCCAAGGAACAATTGATCTTGGGTATTTTACTCGAAAGATTCTTGACATGAATTGATATTTATCTAATCCTCATAAAGCCAAGTCTCAAACTGGCTATATATTCACTTGTGGCGAAACGGTGATCTCTTGGAGATCGATGAAACAAACTTTAACTGCCGCTTCTTCAAATCATGTTAAAATATTGGCAATATATGAAGCTAGTTGAGAATGTGTTTGGTTGAGGTCAATGACTTAACATATTCTGAAAAATTGTAGGTTAATACCCGACGATAAAATTCTCCCGACTACATTGTATAGAGATAATACGACTTGTATAACCCAATTAAAAGGGGTTACATTAAAGGGAATACAACAAAACATATTTCACCTAAATTCTTTTACTCATGATCTTCAACAAAATGGTGAAATTGATATCCTACAAATTCGATCAGATAATAATTTAGCGGATATATTAACTAAGGCATTTTGCCAACTGCTACATTTGAAAAATTGGTGAAGAAGATTGAGATGCGTCGGTTAAGAGATCTCAAATAATATTCAAATCAGGGGAGCAAATAAGTACAAGAATGTTGTACTCTTTTATCTTCAATATGATTTTTTTTTCCTACAGAATTTTTTCCTAGTAAGGTTTTAACAAGACATATTTTTTTGTACAAAAGCACCCAAAGGAGAGTGTTATGAAATGTACACGAAGTATATACATATACCCAATCTAGATGAAGTGTGGGTGCTTCTATTGATGCCACGAATCATATACGTAGGCTAATCGTTGTAATAATTTTAGCCGCACTCATTAATCTCATTTGCCTATAAATAATGAAATTCATCGAAATGAAAATACTGCAATTTTACTCTCTTCCTCTGCTAATTCATTTACCTTATATATTCTACCTACATACATATATATTACATATATAATAATTAATACACATTACATACATTTGTAATCATTACACATATTTAATGCATTCACACGGCACAAGCATACATATACTTAATATATATTCATACGTATTATATATTATTATTATATATATTTATATCAAATATAAAATAGTGGTTAGCGGTAGAAATAATTAATATTTATATTTGCTAATACTATATTAATATCACAATAAATTAACTTTAAATATATTTTAGTCTAAATTTTTATAAATTATGGTATTTAAAAATATTAAATTATCTAATATACTATTTTTTTAAAAAAAAAAATTATATCTCAATTATCTTGTAAATTTATTTATTATTCTAGATAAAGTAGTAATTTATGTTTTAATTTTGCAATTCAATTTTTTCAGAAGCATCTCCTAAAGTGTTTTTCCTTTTTTTTTTTTTCAAAAATATATATTTTTGGAGTTCGAAAGTTGCTTTTAAATAAAAACTAATATATACAAAAATAAATGTTTTTCTTAAAAGCAATAACCAAAATTATTTTTTCAGAAACTCATCCAAATGGGGCCTATGATATTATTACAAAATCAGTAACACTTCATTTTTCACTTGTCCCATATTTGTTTTCATTTGAGGTCTTACAGAACATATTTGTCTTAACAACAGTTTAATTAAAGATGCTCTCACTTTGCACTTGCATAGATGACCTCGTATAAGTATCCCGACGCACTCTATCAACGTATAGTTATAAGTTATTGAAAGCTCAGGATGTTTTCTACACCAATGAAAGGAACATCAATACTCGTTGCTCGGTCTTTCCCACTCGATGATGGATAGAAGATATATTTTCTAAGGATGACAACACAAATTCATGTAGGTGGTTTTTCCTATTGAACCAAGTCCGTTGAATCTCCACTAATCATGAATAGCACTATCATCATTCTTAATTGTGGTAGCCCTCCGACTAAATTATTAAATTGATCCCGATTTAATGATTTGGTTAGTGGACTTATTATGTTATTTTTAGATTTCACATAATTTAAAAAGTTAGCGTTCTTGTGATTAATTCTTGTACGGTATTACATTGATGAAAAATATGTCATGACTTACAGTTGTACATTACATTATGTGTCTTTTCAATTGATGTTTGGCTATCACGGTGTATTATTATTGTGGACACAAGTTTCTTTTAACGTGTAATCTCTTGTAAGATTATTGATGCCACTTAGCTTCCTCACCCGTTTTATTAAAAGTGAAAATTCTGATATCATAGAATATCAGGCTATGCATGTTGGCTTTGCCGGATTCCATGATACAATACCCCATCCGATTGTGAGCACCTACCCACTTATAAAAAATAAGCCACCATAATTCGATATTCAATCAGAATTAGAGTATCCTTCAAACACCTAAGGAGAGAACTATAACCCTAAGTTTTGAGTATATTTAAGTATCTCAAAACCCACACAATAGCGGTCCATGATCTTTACATGATTATTAGTGTATTTAATCAGTTTATTTATCAAGTACGCAAGATCGAAATGAGCATAGTTTGTTAGAAGTATGAGACTTTCTATGGTTGTAATACCTTGGAGTTGGGCCGGTACTAGGCAAACTCCCGTGGATGAGTCGGTATTAGGTAATCCGATGTTGATTAGAGGTTAAATGAATTAAATAGACTATTCATGTCACTCATGTCTAGAATAATTTGAGGATGGGTGACCACTGGGAAGTCTCTCAGGGTGTACGTGAGTGAAAACAGAAGTGTGCTGGAAGAACTTGCGTTGACTTTTGGAGCCAGTCTACGATCGCAACACGCCCGACTTTGCGTGGCTTGCAGGTCGGTCCTTCCACATTTTTCTTGAGTTATAAGCTTATCCTGATTTTCGTTTAATTTGACGTTTAAGTTGAATGGAGTTTTTACATGAGGACCAACAGTTGAGAAATTTTAAATCGGTTGGATAAAATGATTAATGGCTTCAATATATACTTATCAAACACAGTTTTCAAAAATTATATTTCAATCCTATTACCGGGTATCATAAAATCAACTTTATGGGAATAATCCATACACTTTCTTTGAATTTTGCAGCAAAACCAAAAATAAAACTCAAAATAATTGATGTAGAGAAAAATACATGTAAAATAGAATAGAATAGAATAGAATTGATCTTGTGTTTCTTTATCCAAGACTATCCAATTTTTTACTATTTGATATCTGCGTTTCCCGAAAAATATACACTTTTTTTTCTCACAAACATCATATCAAATATTATTTAAATATTAAACTCAAACCAAACTTTTTTCCAAACTAATCAGAAGAAACACACATATAATTGAATTTTATGGTTTTAATTTCAAAGCCTGAAACCCTATTTATATATTTGAAGCAATGTGAGATTGATGTGTGACATTTTACATAACTTGCTCTTTTTTTGGTTGAGATGTAATTTCTCATATAACTGATAGAATTCTTCAATAGATATAATTTTTCAAGAATTCATGCAATTCTTCAAATTTAAATTGTGATCATTATAAAATAAAATATAAGAATATCAGTAAAAACAACTAATATTGATAAATTAGGTAATTAAACACTTTAACAAAAACACTCAACTTAGTGAAGCCAATTAATTAAATAAGTAGTAACAACTAACTAACTTCCAAATAACCCTCAATTAATTGCTAAACGACCCTAAATCTTATCTGCAGACGACCAAATCGTGTCCCAAATTAATTACACGCAGTTCGGGAGCGGTTGGGATCACATAAAAGAAAGAATAAGAATAAGAATAAAACTGGCAGTGAAATTGAAAAGTGAGAGTGGCAGAAATATCATCTCCATGAATCACCACATTTTAGCAGACATACGCATAGTTGCATAGTTGCAGAGATTCCAAGTGGGATCACTCAATAAACAGTAAGTCGCCATTCAAAACACTGACAGAATACAATAGAAGAAGCCATTTGCATAGTTGCATTTGTATTTCAAGAAAAAGAAAAAAAAAGAATCCAACACATATCATCCTCGCTCTATCACATAACAATGCACTTAACATTACATTACAATACATTTACACAAACAAATACACACATTAACGGGACCCAAGAAAAATATAGAGCGAGAGAGCAACCTACCTTCTATTCTATCTGTCTAATTACAAAGGAAGAGAAAGAGGAAGAGGACATAAACACTAAACTCACCATTTCTCCTGTAATTACGTTACGGAACCAACAAACCACTGCAAAAAATGCCTGCCTAATCACACAGTCTTTCCAATTAGCTAGCTAGCATCTACACCCAACCTAATGTCTCAATACAGTCATTCAGTCAGTCAGTCAGTCAGTTAGTTTAGTTTCCTTCTACGGGACTGCTGCATTATATGCATTCTCAAGCTGCTCTCTCCGACCTATTTATATTTATTACTCTGTCATTAACACTTCTTAATCATCCTAAAACAAACCTTAACAAACACAGAGATATATATATATATATATACCTGAGCGGCTGTTAGTATGGAGATGCGATCAGTGCATTGTTTGAGCAATGCACGTTCCTTCGATGTAACTTTTACAATTTCGGTCGCAGGACAATTCACTTCTTCAACCTGCCAAGCATTCATTGGCATGGGATGGATGGATCAGTAGTGCAAAATACAAATTTATCCATCTGATCATATCTCCATGGCCGGGTTTCTTGTAAAATTCAAACAACCAAGGAATACTACTAGTTTGAATTTGCTGAAATTAGAATCAAGTTTCAAATTTTTGCATCATATAATAATAGATACCATGGTATGTACAAATATGCTGCAATTTCAAAACAGTAAATTACAAAACCCACCAACCAAATTTTCTATCAAACTACCAAACTTTAGCTCAACTGACTCACTATCACTGGCAAATCAGGGAGAATCGTTCACTACAATGCAATTTTGTCATTTTGGTATATGTTTAATATTAGGAATAATTTTATTTTTGTATACACCCAAAATTAATTGGGCCGGCCCAATACCAGTGCAGTCTAAATCCTAGAAGGTTCGCGGCTAGACCAACGAACGGGCTTGCGGGGGCTGTCCAGCCCAATGACTCATCCCGCCTGGTGCATTTTATCCAAACAAGATTAAGAAAATAACAAGATTTGGCACGAGGCAGAAGAGAAATCAGATGCCATTCACCATGATTTTCTCTTTCTTTTAATATTTTCTCTGTACTATTTTTCTTAGAACACTGTATTTTTTCAGATTTTTTATCTTTAATTTTCAGTTTCCTTTCCAGTTTTTTTATGTTTTATTAGCTTTATTTTCACTTTTTTTTTTAATCAATTTTTCGATTATTGCAAGATAGTCCGAATTCTTTTTTGAGGAGGCTGGAAAACCCTTCGAACAAGTCGATTCTGACAGGCTTTTCTGATTAAGCCTCCGAAGGTGATTTTATGACGACAACAGAATTGGCCCGCCCAATAACCGACGTCTCGCGGCTTTCGTATGCAATTTTGAAAGAAAAAACTGACACCGCCGACAACCATAGAGATGTCGAATAACAAAGAAGCTATCGGCGAATCGTCATCCTGCCCTGCACAGGAGGCTGTTGCGCGCAACAAGGCCTCTGCGGCGGCTGGAAGGCCAGACCCCATCGTTAGCCTTCTGGCCAGCGTACTCCGGTAGCAAATCCGGGAGGAAATTCAGTCTTCCCTCCACGAATCTGCCTTGGAACTTTCTAAGTACATCACCGATGTGTTGAAGCCTACTATCCGAATTGAATTTGCACTACTTCGGGAGAAAGAAGCTCGAAAAGACAAGACTCCGATGGCTAGCTCCAATCCGCCAAAAATATGGCCTCCCGCCTTACAACCAGCTCTGGGGTGGACCCGACCTCCCAGGTGCTCAAGTATGGTCATGTTATAATTTTTGGCAAACACAGATTTGTAGAACCTCCGTTCAATGTCCGAAAGCTCAAAGAATCTAGAGCACCGGCTGGACAGACCTCTTTCGGTCTGCCTCTGACGGACGGATTTGGCATGACCTTCGGGTCAATACCATCAACTCCATATTGGCAGCCGAATTTGTCATTCACCAGAGCAATTTTCAGCACTTCAGCTTCTGTTCCGGGCCTCCAAAGAAATCCGGAGGCCGGACAAGGAACTTCCAGTGGTTGAGGGGAGGGCCGACAGTGGTTCCAACACCTTCCTTTGCCTTGACACCTTGAACGATGTGGGGACAAAAGGGGGTTGTCCCGGTGACATCCCACTACACTGGGGGTAGGTCGCTACTACGGAAGGTTAGTTTGCTGCTGGTTTCGGGGTACAACAGAATTACCAACCAGCCCCTGAAAATCCTCCAGCGCAGCATGCCCAGTGTTTAGAGAAGCTGCGGAAGGTCCTCGAGTTCGTTTCCCACAACGAGAACTTGCTCATCAGGCCTTCCCATAGCCGGCAACTTGCAATCCGCCTCCTGTCCAGGCAGCTTCAAAACAGCCTAGGGGACCAACAGAAGTGTTGCCACCTCATCCACTTATAAATCCCCAAGCTCAAGGATGAAATTGGAATGATATATGGCTATCCTATCCACCTACCGGCTAGGCCTTACTATCAAAGGCTCTTCCTGGGGTACATTCCTTTGGACCATCCGTTGCCCCGCAACGCTAGAATCCCCGAATTCACGTTGTTTTTGGGGGAAGATTTCCACTTCACCATTGAGCACTAGTCAATTGGACCCAACAATTTTGGGAAAATAGTTGGATTATTTGGAGACGATATTTGAGGTAGTGAAATGCCCAGAAGGAGAAAGATGACAGCTGCATTTTACCTAGAAGGAATGGCCAAGAAGTGATGGAATAATGAGAAGGCTTCCGGGAGCAATTTAATTGGATTACCGTGAGAGGCCTTTAAAGCGATGATAAAGACGCGATCTTATCCCCCGCACCTTCAGAGAGCAAAGGAGGATGAGTTTAGTGCCTTGTGCAAGGTAATATGACGGTGGAGGAGTACTTCACCCATTTTAATGAGCAGCTGTTTATGCTCCGGATTTGGCGGCGAATGATCGATGCAAGTTGACGAGGTTTGTTGGCGGGCTAAACCGAGAACTTCAACGGTTCTTGGCCGGCTTCAGTGTGACGACACTTCAGGAGGCATACGAGAAGACAACTAACATCTATTGGGCAAATTGGATATCGTATATTGAGCAGAAGGATGGAATCCGCAGGGCAGATAGACGAAAATGGAAGATGAAAGTGGGGTGGAAGAACCATCAGCGAGAGGATCAATCGTAGAGGTTCCCGGGTACGGCTTATGCATCTCGGCCTAAATTCACCCCTGGGAATTCGAGTGATAGTCATGGAGGTCCGACTGTTTGTAGCCGATGTAAAAAGTCTCATCCGGGAGTTAGTTGTGATGGCCAATCCGTCACTTGCTATTACTGCCATGAGCCGGGACATGTCAAGAGGTTTTGCCCCAAGTTAGTTGGAGGAGCTCTGAATGTGATTGAGAGGGCTCCGATTCTCCACCAGTAAGGTCGTAGGCCACCAGTGACACCTCAGCTCGAGAGGAAGAGAAATGAGTGGCCAGAGAGATCACATCAATGTCATTACGAGATGGCAAGTTGTGGAAAACCAGGGAGACGTCCTGACCAGTACGTTCTTGGTGAATTCTTTGTTTGTAATTGTTCTATTTGATTCCGGTGCATCCTTTCATTTCATATCGAATAGATGTACTAAGAACCTAGAATTAGATTTTCGAACAGAGGGTTCGGTAGCGGATTAGGCCACCTTCAGGAAAGCTAGTGCTTTGTAATTGTCTTCTCGTAGGAATGTCTGTCATATCTCCTACTAATATTTAGAAGCTTAAATTGGCGGAGTTGTTTGAGAAAGCTCCGAGTGTGAGGATCGATTTCGAGGACGAAATGTCCTAAAAAAGGAAGATGTAATACCCCGTAAAATAATCTCCGAAAGTTCGCTAGAGCTTGCTGGGGTCCGACGCTGGGGTCAGACAATATTATTTGGGGCTTAAATTGTTTGGGCTTTTGGCGCGAGAAATATTATAAGTTGATTAAAATTAATCATGGGTGTTAGGGTGATTGGGCCAAAGTTGAGACCAAAAGGAATAAAAAACTTAAACAGGTATAAGCACAGGTCTATTTTATTTAAAAGATTCTTCTCCAAAACTCTTTCTTTGAGATTAATCTTAGATGATATGTTCTAATTCCTAGGCTTCTTCTGTTGATATTTTTCAAAATTATTTCAAATGGGTTGGCATAAAAGTGTTTGGTTTTGCTAATATCTTCTAGTTGATTATAATGTCCCCTAGGGCTTATGTGAAGATTATTATTGTGTTTTAAGTTGAAAATCGTAGAATTTGTGGAAAGAGTTTGAAACTCTAATTTTGCCGTAACCTAGTTATGGTTTTTTTGGAAAATGATTTATGATTATATTTAAATATTATGATTTTTGGATTTAAATTATGCCTATTGAGATGGACATATTATTCAAATGTTTATTTGGCGAAATAAAGTGAGATACTAACGAACTTGTTGGATTCTAAATACTCTACTTTTTGCTTAGTTAAATGTAGTCAATTGGAACGGTTTGAGTTTAAAACTCTCTTTTAAATTTTCCAAATAACATGTTGAGTATTGGATCAAATTGGTAATTTAAACTACCCCTTGAGTCCGATCAGCTCGTCGATTGTTTGAATGATAAGGCATAGCCTTCCACCTCTGTGCCTTGCAAACACATGAGGGTATACCGGTATTTCAGGATAACTAGCTAACCTCGAACTAGAACCCGAATGGAATAGGCCGAGGGATCGAGATGGCGGGTTCCCTTTTTGGGTGATTCTGAGGTGTCTGTCATTCACGATGAAAAGATCTTTAGACCGTCATGTGTGATGGAAGGATAGATTGCATACAATCCCCTCTCAGTATGTTATATTGGAGACTAGAGAGTTGTGGGTCGTTTGGCGCTCCTCGCAAACTAATAAACAAATTGACTTACGTATACATTTAGACTTCGAACTCTTATGTACATATTGTGAAGCTTTTCTTGAGGGTTGTGACCCTACGTTTGTCATGTATAACTATGTAACGTGTCATACGACGTAATAAGATTGAAAAATCGGGTCGAGTCGGCCTACTTAAGGCTAGTGAAGTTTCCTTAGTAATGTATTCATCACAATTACTTGAGAATAAAAGGGAGATAAGCACAGTCGCGAAAGTAAATTTCGAAAAGGAATGTGAGGTCTGGCGAATGATCTCCGTGGATCAGGTGGTAATTTCACATTAGACCCGCCTTCCCGGGAGGGCTCGAGATGACATAAGCTGAACCAGAAACTAGAAGAAGCAAATGATACGACCTCCTACTAGGACTCAAAAGAGGATAATACAGCGACAACACTTGGCCGCTCGTCTTTCCCAAGAGGATCAGGGGGCTCAAAAGAGGATAATACAGCGACAACACTTGGCCGCTCGTCTTTCCCAAGAGGATCAGGGGGCCAGCAGGCCGATGACCGTGAAGGTCAAGTTGGGGGGGCAGTAAACCCGAGACTCAAAAGAAGCTGTCGCTGGAAGACAGAGCTTGTTCGGAAGGACCTTCGTCACCAGCTTCAGGCCCGAAAGGAATGAAGACCAAAAGGAGTTTTCGCAAGGGTTGAATACCCTACCGAACCTCACTTTACTATAACACTTGGGGAGGACCAAATTCCTGAAAGTGAGTTGATGATCCGTGTTCTTGATTGCGATGAAGCGTCGGAGGCTAGCTTGGACATCATTGTTTCCGACCAAGACCTTTAACGACCTTCATACTATAAGGGAAATCTCAAGGTTAATACTATAGGAGTGTTACCTCGAGAATTCGAAGCTCCTCCAGTCCAGCCCGACTATCTCTAGGGGGATGTTATACTGGAAGAAGCTAGTTCGTTATGTTGGATGGACCAAAATGCCGACATTCAAAAAGAGGTTCGGAACAAGTAATTTTCCAGAAATTAACGGACGAGAGTACGCATCATTTGAAGCTCTTGTTCCTCATCATACATCTCGATGGCCGGACGGTCAGCAAGGTCCTAGTTGATGGAGGAGCTTGCATCAATATCATGATCTTGTCTACCCTAAAAGAGATCAATATAAATAAAAACAATCTCGTCCCGAGAACTATGCGAACAACCGACTTTACTGAAAATGCACATACGGTAGCAAGCGTGTTGGTGGCAAAAATGACGGTCGAAACAAGGACGGATCAAATGGCTTTCTTCGTCATAAAAAAAAAGCCAACTTATGCGGCCATTCTCGGGAGGGACTGAATCTACACTACCCAGTGCGTCCCTTCGATATTGCACAAGAAAGTTATGTTTTGAAACGGAGACCGAGTTGAGATGGTGGAGGTCGAGGCAGATCCGGCGATGGAGATTCACTCTGCAAAAGCTGTATATTATTCCCTCGATGTGTACCCGCTTCCATGATGCTGAAGGACGCTGGAGGAATTCAAAATCAAAGTCGAGGCCGACACATGGCCTAATAACTCAAGTGTTTATCATGTCTGACAACTCGATTTTGCCGGATCCGGTGGCAAGAGTAGGCAGGTTTGGATGTCCTTTTATATGGGCTAAAATCATGCCGCTAACCTTCTTGACAGACAGGCGGAGACATCCTCAAAGCCGCCTATTTGCGATCAAGATGAATATATTCATTCACCGATTCGAAGAGCTATTCCACCTTTCGAAGTACAAGATCCACTAGAGGAGGTCAACCTAGGGGATGAAACAACCCCTCAGATGACGCGGATCAATGCCCTGCTGGATATTGAGAAGGAGCAAATAATTGCCTCAATCCGAAAGTTCAAGGATTGCTTCGGCTGGGATTACCACAAGATGCCCGGGCTATCAAGGAACTTGGTGGAATACCGATATCCACCAAAGCATCATTTCGGCCTCACAAACAGCCCCCTTGGTGTTTCAACCCGGAATTGTTGCCGAAAGTGAAGGAGAAGGTCGAAAAACTTCTTAAAGCTAACTTTATCCGAACATGCAGGTACCCGGAGTGGATTTCCAACATTATACCAGTGGTGGTGAAGAAGAATGGAAAGATCCCAATCTGCATTGACTTCCGGAACCTCAATTTAGCGACGCAGAAGGACGAATATGTGATGTTCATTGCCGACATGCTCGTGGATTCTATGGCTATAATCAGATATATCTGGCCGAGGACGCCCATAAAACAGCTTTCCGCTGCACCGGAGCAATCGGAATCTTCAAATGGATAGTAATTCCCGTCGGCCTAAAAAATGCCAGAACGACCTACCATAGGGCGAAAACGGAATTTTTCACGGCCTTATCGGTATTTGCATGGAGGTAAACATAAATGATATGGTCGTGAAGTCCTGAGCATTCAATCACCACATGTTGGACCTTCAGAAGACATTTATGCAGATGAGACAACACAACCTCAAAATGAACTCGACGAAGTGTGCTTTCGGAGTACAAGCAGGGAATTTCTTGGGTTTTCTAGTTCATCAAAGGGGCATCGAAGTCGACAAAAATAAGACCAAGGCCATCCAGAACCTTGGGCCCCCCACGCAACATTAAAAGATTGCAAAGCTTAATGGAAAAAGTCAATTTCTTGAGAATATTCATCGTCAACGCTGCCGGGAGAATGAAGGCCTTCTCGGTGCTGTTGCATAGGAATAAAGACGTGGTCAAGTAGGGAGTAGCCCAACAACAAGTCCTGGATTAGATTAAGCAGACGATATCATCACCTCCAATATTAATGCCGTCAATCAGTGGAAGAGAGCTGAAGCTGTACATAGAATTTAGGGTTTAGGGTTTATCAGTCCTCGAGAATTCGAAGCTTCTCCAATCCAGCCCGACTATCTATAGAGGGATGTTCTGTTGGAATGAGTTGGTTCGACTTGGCGCAATGGGTTTCCGGATTTAAAAGAAGGGATATACAACCAAAATACGAATGTTTGCAGGCTAACCAGGACCCAGACTGGCGAAACCCGCTGTCAGAAGGTATGAGAGACCCAGGGAAATTCGCTTCAAAAGCAGTGTGCCATCAATTTCTAAAATACACGCAAATCGACGGGGAGTTGTATCAACGGAGATCCAATGGGACTTTAGCTCGCTGCCTGGGTCATGAGGATGTTATGAAGGTCATGGCCGAGGTCCACGAAGGTGTTGGAGGTAACCATAGACTGGACCCGCTATGAGGTGGACAACCTCCGTTACGGCTATTTTTGGCCACGAATCTCGCAGGATTGCATGGATTATGCTTGGGATGTCCCAACATATCAGCGTCATGGACCACTTTGACGAGTCCCTGTGGAAGAATTTCATTCGATTATCAAACCTTGGCCTTTCCGTGGATGGACGATGAATATCATCATCCTCCATCTTCCAAGATGCATTCCTTCGTTCTCGTAGCTAAAGACTACTTAACGAAGTGGGTGAAAGCTGTTCCGTTGGCCAAGGTACAACATAATCATATTACACGTTTTATTAAGAATAACATCATTCACATGTTTGGCATTCCCAAGCCAATAACCATCGATCAAGGGACCGCATTTATGACCGCGAAGGTCAAAGCCTTTACAACTTAATACGGGATCCAAGTACTCTATTCCTCTCCTTAGTATCCTCAGACTAACGGGCAAGTCGAGGTAACGAACAAAGTCTTGGTTTCTATTATCAAAAAGGCGTTGAAGGACAATCCGATGGTTGACACAACACTTTAGAGGAGGCTTTATGGGCATATCGGAACGCCAAATCCTCTGTAACCGGCAGCACCCCTTACAGGCTAACTTACGGCCATGATGCCGTGCTTTCATTAGAGATTACAGTGCGCTCACTCCGAATCTTGAAGGTGAACAGGTTGTCGATGGAAGAACATGAACAGGCCTTGCTCCAAGAGCTCGATGCCTTGCCTGAAGAGAGACTGCAGGCTCTTAAGCGCATTCGGCATCAAAAGAGAAAGGCCGAATCGACCTTCCGAAAGCACGTGAGGAGTTAGACCTTCCAGGAAGATGACATGGTATGGAAAGCCGTCCTCCCGGAAGGCCCCAAAGATGCGAAGCTCGGGAAGTGGTCTCCCATATAGGAACGGCCATTTATCATATCGGCCAAGTCATCTAACGTCGCATATAGATTGATAAAGCCCATAGGGGAGGAGTCGAAGACGTTTATCAATGGAAGACATCTTAAAAGGTTTTATCCTTCTCTTTGGGAGCTGGAAGGGAGGCATGATTAAGCTGTAGTCGACTACGACCTTACGGAAGACGAAAACATTGTTGGACAGGCCGAGTACGCAGAAATCGACCTTCCTGAACGCAGATCTTGAATGTTGGCTACCAGTGGGTATCCAGGATGTGGACATAGCATCAAAAAGAAGATTTTGAAGGTCAAAATAACCTTGGTACGGGGCACGATTCGACACGGATGAGTTGGCTATGATCGAAAATTTAAAACTTGCGCACTAGTCAATCTAAACACGGGAGATTTTACAAAATTATCCGGACTATAAATTAAGTTGTGTCTAGATAAATTTTCTGGGGGGCATTTGTGTACACACAATTGATTGGGCCGGCCCAATACAAGTGCAGCCCAAGTCCTGAAAAGTTCGCGGCCAGATCAACGAACGGGCTTGCAGGGCTATCCAGCCCAATGACGCAGCCAGCCTAGTGCATTTGGAGTAGTGAAGGAGATGAAAGATAGTGGGCAAGAGGATTGAAGTGGTTGGAGAAAAAAAGTGGGATAATATTTTATCCAAACAAGATCAAGAAAATAACAAGATTTGGCACCGGGCAGAACAGAAATCTGATGCCATTCACCATGCATTATTTTTTTTAGAACAATGTATTTTTCCAGATTTTTTATCTTTAATTTTCAGCTTCCTTTCCGGCTTTTTCATGTTTTATTAGCTTTATTTTCACCTTCTTTTTTCATAACTTTTTTGGTTATTGCGAGATAACCCGGATCATTTTTTTAGGAAGCCGAGGAACCTTTCGAACAAATCGATTCTGGCAGGCTTTTTTAATTAAACCGCCAGAGGTGATTTTATGACGACAGCTTCCAAGTTAATTTCTGAAATATTTTATGTCCCGCTTCAAGAAGGTGATTGAAGACAGGCAAAAGAAGAGGTCACATGCTAGAATATCAAAAGACAATAACATTGCTTGTACATGCAAAGACAACGTACCTACCTAGGGTGTGATTATAAATATATAGATTATGACAAGCAAAACATCTACTCCTGCAATTTAAATGAGAACTAAGAAAGTCAACGCACACATGAGAGGGACATGGAAATTACCAATAGTAAAAGTGAATGTATTGATGATCCCATTGCTTGTATAACATCGACGGCTGAATGGATGGCATCCTTCAAGCTCACCGTGTCTGCCTAGAAACACAAAAGATATTGTGTGCATTGCTCATATGAAATGTAAATGAACAGTTAAGGCACCTACCATTACTCCCCCGTTAACAGGAAGACGAAGAGTGCTAGCCTTCAAAGCTTCAATGGCACTGAGCAATGAAATTGATTGGTCCTTCTCCAAAGAAGCCCAATCTTCTAAAAACGTCATCTAATCATGATTTCAAGATATGAGAAATGAATATAAGAATAAATACAACGAAAAAAAACCCTTAAAATTAATGCAAACAACAAAAGATGTTACATTGGGTAATATAACAATGTTGGTCCTCTACGAACGTCTCATTTCAATTTTACTTCCATTAGACACATTATTTGATTCTGTCTCCACAATTTTTCAGCCACCAAAAATGAGAGTTTGACTTCACAAATGAAAACACAGGCCATTATCGGACCAAAAAAAGTCATTACCCAATAGGGCTAAAATTGAAAAAAAAAAAAAAAAAAAAAAAAAAAAAAAAAAAAAACCTTTAGCAGGACCAAAAATGCTATATTTAACTTGTTAGAAAGCTATGCAGCGATATACCTTCAGTTCATCAGACAAAAGGAAGCAATATGTAAGTAGGAACCGGGATTCAGGCTTACTTGTCCTTTGATAATGGAAGCTAGTTTCAACTTTGCCCTCAGCAGCCGCAGTCTGTATATTTTTCTGGTGAGGGTATCTCGTATATCTGAGGTTGTTATCCAGGCGTTCCAGAGATGCTTCTGTCAGGAGATTGGGATTTTGTTAATGAAATTCCAGAAGGAGAAAACATATCACTACTTAGCACCTCCTCTCGCTATTTCTAAAAGCAACTGTACGCATCATCAATAGTCCAATATGGAAACTTCCAAACTATAACAATCCATATACATTGCAAGCTAAGGTTGGTGAAATTACAGATGAGCAAAGGCTGCCTTCCAGTTATAACAACCAAATAGTCATGATCTTATCTTTAGAAAGTCAATGTCTGAAACAAGAAATGGTAAATCCCAGAAACATGCTATTGCTAGCTAGGAGATATGAAGTTAAGATACATACATTCTTTTCATTTATTAAAATTCAGGGTCACTTAACTTAAAATAATGTAGTTGTAGATTTATGCTGATTTGGTTAGGCACCTGAATGAATCTCAAAACCTCACAGGAAGTATACCATCCTAAATTACAGGTGCATAAAAATAAAGGTGCGAAGCCAGAAATCAGCTCAACCTACCAAACTCATTTGTGCTCAAATCTTTCTGAATGAATCACATTCCAAAATTTCACAATTGCAAACATTATGCATAACATAACAAGTCATGCATGTGCCATATAAAGGTGATTCAACAACTTAAAATAGGATGCATAGAATATATTTCACCTCGGTATTGTGTTTCTGCACAAACAGTACAGAATCCATCCTGGCATTGACAATCCGCCACTGCAGATGACGATTATAAAGAAGCCTCAGCGAGTGCGCAGCCACAATTCTATTCTCTCCAACCTTCCCCCGACGAACATCCACTGCAAAGCTAAGAACCGAAGGCGTCGTCTCAACATAATTGCTGCTAATAGTGCTCACAGAATTCCTTATCCGCGATGGACTATGCCCCCGCAAAGGAGACTTTGTAGCCTTACTTGGAAAGGCCTGTCTAATACCACTACCACCAGCAGCAGGACGAACAGGAGGGGATGGCGATATTGCCCTTGAAGGGCCACCGTCACTTGAATACCTCCTCAACTTTGGCGGCGCAATCAGTTTTGACCCCAAAGGGCTCGTTTCCAAATGCGACCCTGGATCCTGCAGCCGCCTCAGCTGGCTGTTGGTTTCTTGCCAAAACCTTGCGGAAGCAATAATACCATGGGCCACATTCCGACCACGGCTACAGTCTTTAGGTCCCGAGTTAGTGCTGCCTGAAGAAACACTATCAGAATCGGAAGGCACCCATAGAGAATCGTGTAACACATTATTATCGTGGAGAGAAGGCCTACAACTCCTCTCATCAATCATGGACTGATAACTCAGCTTCCCATTCCCAGATCCAAACCCTTTAGAAGTCACCGCCGGCCACCGTAGATATTGATCGGGTTGATGATTTCCTTCCCCTTTTAACGGAGTGATTGTGCGCCGTTTCTCCGGCATGCCTTTTCGCAAATTCGGGGAAGATTGTGTCGTCGTCACTTTGGCCTTACTGATTGGGAGGGAAAATGCTTTTCCCTGAAAGGATACGGACAGGCTCCGAGTCGAAGTTGCCAGAAGCTTTGTGGCTGCGGAGACGGAGACATCCAGCTCGGGGATCAACGGCCGGGACGCAGCGGCGCGACGCCGATCGACAGATGCGGAGCGGCGGGGGCTGGCGGAAGCCGAAGCCGAGTTCCGCGGGATTAAGGGAGAGGGGAACCTTCGAGAAGAGGAAGAAGCTGAAGACGAGGAGTTCGAGGAGGAAGTGGAGGTCGAGGTCGTCGAAGGGGACGACATGGACATATATCGCGAGGAGACGCTTCTCGATTTAGGTTTTCTATGGACGCCGACGCCATTGCTGTTGTCCTTCAGCGACGGCGGTCTTCTGGAATGCTCATCCCTGAATTTGGGAGTCTGCGCATCGCCAGAAACGGCGGCGGCCACCATCGTCGCGATCAGGACCGCATCTACGGACCAAATAAGGAGATCGAACCGAACCGCTCACATTGTATGAAACAAGATGTGGAAAGTCCACCGTAGCGCAAATAGGTCTTCCAGAAAGCAAACAAACGAATGTTAATCTGTCCGAAAGATTTCCGCGCGGCGATTCAACGCGGCGGAGTGAGCACAAGATACGCCGTGAAATGTGAATACGAAGAAGATGTAGATTTTCCGGCGAGGCGAGGCAAGAGAGAGAGAGAGAGTGGGGATGGAGATAGAGTGAAATTTGGTTTACGTTATGTTACGTGACGTGACGTGACGCTAGCAAAAACAAAAAAACAATCTATAGGAACGCCTTTTGTTAATGAAAGAAGGAATCATCTTTATTTGATTTGATTTGATTTCTTGTGTGAAATAATTTTCAGATTTGTTTGTTGATTTTGGGACAGTCTTCTAGCCTAGCTTAGTGTAGTGTAGTGTAGTGTAGGTGTGTACAAGAATGACAATAATAGTTTGAAGGGTGTGTTTGTTTGGGGGAGTGAATTAAATTTTCACTATTTATTTAATTTTTTTCACTATTTATTTAATTTTTTAAAAAAATATCAAATTAAATATTTATTTTTTATTTTTATATTATATTAAAAATTAATTTTACATTTAAAATATTACATCAACACCTATTTATATTACATCATATAGCTATTCAAATTCAAAATTTTTACTATTCAAATCTCAACTCAAGATCCAAACCCCCAAACAAACACACTCTAAATGAATTTTGAGAGGCATACAACACATTTTTTAAAAAAAATTACATTATTTTATTTTTTCAAAAATATTATATTAAATAATTTTTGTATAAAATACTTAATTAATTTAAATATTTTAAAATGTCAAAATCATATTTTATTTAATTCAATTTTTTTTATGAGCATTCCAAATAATACGTTATCAATGGTTCGCCTAGATAAACATCCGTTTATCAAAATAAATCTGAAGTCCTTGAATGTCAACTTCTTGTTTTGGCAATTGGGATTTTTTAAATATTCGGTGTGTAAAGTCTTTCAATCATCATCCAATAAAATGTTCAACTTTTTTTGAAATTCGAAGTTTGCATAAAAAAGATTCTTTGTATGGATTTGGATTTCAGCTTGTAAACATGAAGTCTATGGTTGGCCGAGATCTAGATCCTCAAGTCCAATCAAGGCTCTAACGGTTTATAGTGTATGATATCCCAATGCGCGTTGTACCAAATCATTGGCGTTTGTTACGGTTACAGGTTTGAGGAGCATAGTTGATTGGTACGCCTGCAAAATGTTTTATCAACTCTCTCGCCTTCTCAAATAATGGTTGCAGTCCAGGATGTCGACTGTGGAAGCTACCACGCATATGGTTGACTTTTAAGTAAAAGTCGCCAATGATGTGAATGATTTTAGCCTCTTTATCAATAAGATACGAAGTCCCACGATTAAAGCCTCATACTTGACTTATTGTTGGGCATTTCGTCTTCCAATTACATGATGTACCACATTTGTTCACCAATAGAGCTTACCAAAGTGACTTCTGCATCCGAACTATTTTTTGTTGCCGATCCATCAAACATCATTGTCTATGGAATGAGATTGATATACTCTGTTGCCGTAGAAATCCTTTGGTAAACTGACTATGATGAACGATAAAGTTGCTACGACTTGCCCTTTTACCTCCCTTAATAGGACATAGATCAGTGTAAAGGGTATCGATTTCACTACCCACTTTAAAAGCCGTCCCTTAAGGATTGGACAATCAAGTAAGGACTTAACAATGTTGACATAAAAAAACTACGATGGTTTCCCGAGGTAAAATATAATCTCCAACTTTGTGCATGTATAGACCAGGGCATAACATAATTTTTCGATTTGGGAGTACCTGGCCTTGGGACCATTTAATGTATTGCTTAGGTAGTATAGTATTGTTCAATATTGTCATACGCATCCTGAGCTAATAACGATCCAATGATATCCTTTATTGTCGAGATGTATAGCTTCAATGGCTTGCCATTCCGAGGTGGGACGAGAACGGGATGCGACAAAAAAGCTTTTTTTATTTCTTCAAAGGCCAATTGTTGTTCATGACCCAAAAGAAGTCGTCTTTGTCCTTAATTTGCAAGAGCTTTGTAAAAGCTCGCATCTTTCCTGCAACATTAGATATGAAGCGGTGTAGGAAATTGATTTTGCCCAACAAGGATTGCATTTCATTTATATTTTTTGGTGGGTTGGTTTCACACACAACTTGACTTTACTTCTATCTATTTTGATGCCGCATTCATGAACGAAGAAACCAAGAAAAATTTCTACAAAAATACCGAATACACATTTAGCTAGATTCATTTTAAGATTATGATGACACATCCTAATTGTAGACATTAAAAAATAAATATCTAAATGAAATTAGATATTTAATAATGCATGTATGTTAATTTTTTACAATAAATATCAACAATTAATACGAAATCTGCTTAAAATGAAAAATATCGTACAAATACTATGTGTATATATAGAGATATAATAAATCTAGCATTAAATTAAATAAACCTTGTCAGAAAGTATTACCATTAATATATTTTGATAAAGAAAATGATATAAAGATTTTAATGAGAAAGGAAAGAACACAGTCAAATCTTCCAACAATGAAAGACGGCATCCGATGAAAAAAGAAAGGATTACAAAATCTTCCAATCGGCCAATCGGAACGCACACATGACATCATTTGAAAAAAAAACCGAGACTACCCCTCCTCTATAAATAGGGGCCTTGGCCAATTCATTTGATACACCGGAGTTCATTCAAAGACTCGTACAAGGTAAGTTTCTCCGAACGTCAAGATTCACAATTCCAAAGCCTCCCATCGGACCAGCTTCGAGAACCCGAGAGAAAGCCCGCATTGACGAATTACAAGGTTTGATGATGAAGTTTGCAAGTTCAGGAGCAAGACTTATCGATTTATGACGACATTAGAGCTTGCAACGCCTCAATCGGACAACTAACGGAAAAGTTGTGCAAACCTAGGAGTTTGCTAAAATAGAGGGTTTAATATGTAATTATATAAACCTAGGTTGCACATGCTCAAGTGGGGGGACCATCCATTGGGACCACTTATATATATATGTAAAATAAGCTCTCACATGCAAGGGGGGACCATTAGCTAAATGTCACTCATTGAGAGGTTACTTACTTATACACAACCTATCCCACATTGGAAAATCAATCCACTTGTCCCTTCCCCCACTCCTATAAATAGGACTCTTAAGCTTCTTTGTAACACACACCAAGCAAATATATTTTTGTGAATATTTGATCATTTATGATCACTTCCTTTTATGGAAAGTTATGCTTGATAGCAATACTTTATCTTTTAGTCTAATATTTCATGCAATGCAATTCCATTGCATGCTCCATGCGGTTTAGTTCAAAAATTCAGGTTTGAGTATAGAGCCTCAAGTTCGTGGCATTTGGGGAAGATGGAAGAGCTCTCCAAAGTGTCGACCAAGGTGGTGCCTTCGTGGAGGATGGTTCGATGCTAGAAGGGTATCGGGTCGTTCTTACGTTAGTACTTACTTAGGTTTGCTTCTCTTTCGATTATCTTTTTTCTCGCTTTATTTATTTCCGCCTAGTTAAAGTGTTCTTTTCTTGCTTAGTTAGTTCCGTTTTAGTTAGTTAATTCCATGTCTTGTGTAGTTGATCAATTCGGTCCATGACATATATATATTAATTTTGGTATCAGAGCAGTTTGATCAATTTACACTATCTTTATTCCGAAAATTCCGAAAAAAATAAATTAAATTCCTTTGTTATCTTTTCTTTTCATTCTTTCTTCTTGTTGCTTAGTTGAACTATTTTTATTTCATATCATTGACGTAAATTTGATCTCAAGTTTTGTCATTGCTTGGCCTTCTAGCGTAGACGATTTGATCCTCTATGCTTCCTAGTGTACAACATGCACCTTACATCTATATGCATTATATGAACTCAAGTTTGGGACTTTGTTGACGGGTGATTTTAATGTACACTTCATGCTCTTGGTTGAGTTTTGCGAGATAGTTCTTGTTTGAGTGTTGCAAGTTTGTTCTTGTTTGAGTTATGCAATTTTGCTTTTGTTTGAGTTTCGCAAGTTTGTGGGTTGTTGAGTTCGTTGTTGTTTGAAGTGAGGTTGAATTAATTTTGAGTTGGATGTTGTTGGGGAAGTGTAAGGAGTTATTGTTGATGTATTGTTTTGCCTAGGCCTCGTAATATTGCGATGAAAAAGTAAAAAAAAAAAAGAGTTGTGAAAAGAAAAAAAAATTGTTGCAAAAAAGAAAAAAACGAAATACAAAAAAAAACAAAATCGAGCGGGAGGACTAGAGCAATTTTTTTTGTTGATAATCTTGTTTGAGTTGTAGTTTTCTCATACGAGGTCCGTTTTTCACGTATGATATGTCATTGGAAAGCTTGTGAAGTGGGGAGAAGTTATATTAATCAGTTTTTGTGAATTTGTTATTGACGTTGATTATTCAGTTTTGGATTTTTGAGTTTGGATCGATTTTTGTGCTTGTCATATTCGTTTGACACATTTTAAAAGGGGTTGAGTATTGTGGTGATTTGGTGGTTGTTGAGATCTATTCAGCTTGTGTTTGTTGTAGACATGCTTAGTTCCCGCATTTGTGTGTTGTGTATGTTTGGTCATTCGTCCGTGAATGAATGAGCTTGGTTCTTTGCATTGCATGATTGACACTATCTTGAGCTTTCTTTGATTGAGTCGTGTATAAAGTTTCTTGTCCACTTTAAACGCGTACGACACTCAAGTTCTACCTTTACGACTCCGTCAAGGCACACTTGAAGAGCTTGGAAACTCTATCCATTTGTCGAGAGGTATACACGAGTGTGCGAGGGGGGGGTGTGAGGACTAAATTTCAATATACATATATTAGTTTTCTTTGGTGCAGGTATGGCTTCTTTAGACGATATCTTAGCTGTGTTAAATGAACAAAGTACACTTCTACGAGAAATGAAAGAAGAGTTAGGAGGAAAATTGGGAGATGCATTGACTCAAGTGAGCCCAAAAGTACAAGGTGTACACGAGCTACATTGCGATGAAGACAATGTTTCAGATAACATAGGCGGTTCTATGCATTGTGATGATGATGGAGAGAATGTACTTTTGTCCTATGATGAGGGTGATAATTGGGAACCTGAGGTCAAGGCTAGAGAGGCTGAGGTTTTCCAAGTGACAGAAGAACAACTTGAAGAAGATTTATTGGGAAAGTTGACTTTGCAAATGCTTGGTGCTATTCCCAAGGAATCGGAATTATTTGTTGATTGGGTTAAGGAGAAATGGGAGAATTTGCTCCATTACTGGTGCAAGATTGG